ACCCAGAGAAAATTTATCAGTTTTACAAAACAATATAGTTACTTTTGAGAATGGGAATCAACACCCATGTGTACTTGATATGTATACAATGGAGTTGAAGTTTGAGCCCCAGATGTGGATCCCATGGCCAATTCTGAAGTGATGAGATTCTCTATTTCTAATTTCATATGACCTCTCGATTTTATACCTGAACCACCCCAGATTTTGGAGTAGAGCAGCATGTTATTTACAGTGCCTTGATTGTATAACAGTATTTCCAAAACTTCTATTAAAAATGTATTATTAATCCCAAACTCCTAATTTGGGATTAGTAGATACACACTACTGTATATAAAATAGATAAACAATAAGAACCTACTACGTAGAACAGAGAAGTATATTAAATGTCTTGTAATAATCTTTAATGGAAAAGAACCTGAAAAATAATACACACACAAAAAAATCTGAATCACTTTGGTGTACACCTGAAACTTACCCAACATTGTGAACTAACTATACTTTCATGTAAAAAATGTATTTTCAGAAAGGCTCTTATACTAAACTTATCAAGTAATCTACTTAGCGTTTTCCTAAATTCATAAAATGCTCATCAAAAGCACATTTTATTCTGGAATTTCAACTGAAGTTTCAGCTTGAGTAATAATACACAATATTCTGGCTCTTGGTGTTTTCCCTATAATTTGAATTTGCCCCCAAGGCTGCTGAACTGCTTTACTGACACTATTTTCCTTTTTTCACCAGCTGCCTAAAGGATATATCCCGACAAGGGATCGAACCTGTGCCACCTGCATTGGAAGGTGGTCTTAATCAGTGGACCACTGGGAATGTCCTTCATGGGGAAATAGCTTAAGAAGGGAGAAACTGGACTTCTCATCTGAGAAGGAAAGAAAATTCTTGAGAACGTCTGCCTGTGCAGCAAAGTTCCTGGTTTTTCTACTAAATCAGTAAGCAGACAGTGTTGATTTTTCACTCATGCTGTAAATAAAGTTGGGTTGTAATGTGCTATTTTAATTTTATACATCTTGCTTTTAGTACAAGTAGTATTTTATACAATATAAAAGCAAGACACTGTGTATTTCTCCAACCATACACTTTGTTGATAGTGATTTATGTCTTCCTTCTTTTTTCCCTCCCATTTTTCTTTTATAAACTAAATAATCGGAGCTCTTTCATACTTAAATAAGAGTTTTTAATTCATGAGATTTCTATCTATATTTAATTGACTTCACTTCTTGATCATTTTCTTTATAAATTAAAACTTTTTTCTGATAAGTATGAGCATGAAGCCCAAGCTTACTGGTTATATATTTTAGAGCCAATAAATGTTGTTGTTAGAAATGACATCAATTAAATTAAAGGATTAAGATTTAAAGCACATAGAACAACAGGACATATAAAAATAAGCATATTTTAATCTCATTTTTTTCTTGCCATGTAAACCAAGGTCTGCTAAAGAGAGACAGATACCTTCCAATTCAATTTTATGTGTGTGAGGGAACCATAAGATAGCTTTCCATTTGAGGAGTTAATAGTACAGCTGCATCCTCTGAAGAATTTCAATTCATCAATAATTTGGCTGCCAACACTCTCCCTCTTGGATGCAATTTTCCCTTTACATTTGAATAAACACCAATCCAATATGTATGACGTGTTAGCCAACAAAACATACGGTGCTCAGTCGTGTCCAATTCTTTGCAACCCCATGGACTGTAGCCCACCTGGCTCCTCTGTCCATGGGCTTATCCAGAAAGGAACACCAATGCATTAGACAATGTGCTAAATACTTCATCACACTATCTCATTTAATTCTCATACAACCCCTGCTGGATAATACTGTTATACTATCTTACAGATTAGGAGACTGAGTCCAGAGAATAACTTCCATGTTCACATATGTAGTTAGTGGTAGATCAGAAGTTCTAGGTCAGCCTGACTCCAAAGCCTGCTTTCTTTGGAAACAGCCCCCTTCAGCATCAGAAAAGGAGACATGTTAACTCATAAAACTTACCTGTAATGACAAACTTCAACCCCGGGCCAAATACTTTCATGATGATTATGTACATTATACATGAGCCCTTTATAGAAGTCCACACAGACATGAAGCCAAATTCTATTACAATATTTGTACAATGTTGTCTTTGCTTTCCTTTACTATGTGAATTTGTTGTAAAATCTCTCCTAAATCTCTACATCTAATTCCCATACACATTCCCTTTTTGCTAAATATCATTCCTATTTAATTTTTTCTTACCTTCCCTATATTACCTTGAAAAATATATATATTCTTCTGATATCTACCTGTGACAATGAGTTTTGCTCCAACATTGAAGTTTTTTATGTAGTTATTCCACAGTGATTCAAGTTGTATCAAAAACTTTAGACTAATTAGCTTCTCTGATTTCTTCAAATTCTAGTAGAACTATGATGACTTGGAATTCAAGACACTAGGATTCTGGTCCTAGTTCATTTTGCTCCTAACAAGCTCTGTGGTTGAGCAAATAAAGTAAACTAATGCCTTGGGTACCTTATTTATTTGAAAATGACGGTGCTACTGTTAAGTCAAGTGAACATCCTTATCAGTGTTTTGGTGAGCTCAAAATGAAACAAGATCTGAAAAGTCATTTGAATAAAAATTATATAGAGGTAAGAGATTATAAATATTACTATGTTATCATTGACATTATTATTAGGATTTTTATTTGCGATAATTGTGTGGTCCAACATGACATTTTAATATCATGGGAGCAAATCTTGCCTATCTGATGGGAATTCAGTATCTGGGGTTTACAAGTAGATCCATAGCAACTGATGACTTGTTTGCATTCCTCTGTGTTTTGATATGTCTGGGATTCTCCAAGCCCATATCACAGCTCTTCACACACCCAGATAATAGGCAGTCATTTATTTTGTCATATTTCTTGCATTTCCAGGGTGAACAAATCAAAGGGAACATTGTCGAAAGTCTAATGTATACAGCCAGTATATGGAACTTCACTTCTGTTGTCCACAACAAATGGCTTTTCCCCAACAATAGCACAATCTATGGGCATCTCAACATTTTACCAGAAATTTCAGCTTCAAATTGACTTCTATCCAGTTCATGCCCAAAGTTCAGCTTGCAGCTCCAGGTATGGGCCTTAGGACAAATGACCACAAAAATGGCAGGATGCCTGGTACTCAAATCCTCCGTTGTCAAGTTGGATTGCTTCACTGCCTGCCTCATCTTATCAGCTGAGGGTCATCATTCATGAATGACATTACATTTTGGTGCCCATTGCATTGATGCATTGGGAGTATAAACATATTTGCTTGAAGACCATTTCTTCCATTTTGTAAACTGGATATTGAAGGCAATGTCTGCTTTTTACTTCATTTTCCTACTAAAGACTCCCACATTGAAGTACTTTTTCTAATTTTGTGGTGGGAAAACATATTTGAAAATTTGGTGTGCTTATTTTAGTCAGTTAATATAGGGTATCTATTCCACTATATTTTTTCTTGCTTTCTTATTTCTTATTTTTAATTCACTTCTTTTGGATTGAGACAGAACTGACATATATTCTGAATGTTTAATAAATGCACATTCATGTGACTTACATGATCTTTTAGAGGGAAAGAGATGTCATTTCAGTGCTATGATTAAAAAGCAAGAGCATTGTTTTCACATGTGAGTAGCAATACAAAGTATGAGCTATTACTGATAGTTACAGAATCCAGGTCAGGCTACAGAAGGGTAAATATTCAGGATATAAAAATATGACTTGATGTTTCAAATATCACATAATAATCCAGTCCTCTTACTTTGACAAATCTCTACTGGTTCCCAAACTTTGCCACAGTAGCTAGTCATGTGACTTTAGTCAAGTAACTAAACTTCTCTAAACCTCAGTTTCTTTATCTATAAAATGGGAATGAAAGGATTACTGGTGAGGAAAGTATAAGGCATTGAAACTACATATCATGGTGTCTATCTTTCAGTAAATATTAACTAATATTAAAATTCTCTTTAATGGCATGGTTTGAGGCCATTTCATCAAAATCTTCCACCAAACAAAAGGTATGCTTTTTATAAGCAATAACTATTACACCAAACTCAACAATCCAAGACGTCCTACTTCTGTAGCCGTGGCCCATAGAAGACAGGTCCAATTAAACCAAAATCTAGAATGCTTTTCCGCTAGATTAGAAGTTGTTTGGTGTTGAGACTCGTTCTGTGTCTTGTTCACCCTTCTGTCTGCAGCTCCCAGCACAGAAACTGTCCTCAATAAATATTTGCTGAGAGAATGAAAGAGCAAAGGAGAATGCCCAGCCATGAAGACACTTCTGTGAACTTTAGAGCTGGAATGGCTCACTGTGCTCACAAACTGGTCCATGTCCAGACAATTTCACAAGAGATGAGATAGTTTGCATTTCAGATAATCTCAGCCTCCCTCTAAGAAGCTAGAGTAATAAGAAGTGAGATTTATCAATGTTGTGTAATCATTTACTGAAAGAATTTTCTTTCACTGCTCTTAGGGATGAGATGAAAATCAGTAATATTGGTTTTGCAGGAGATTCAGGGGCACAGTATTTTATCTCAAAATATAGAGAAGTGATAGTAAGAAAAGTGTTTCACACTTAATAGACTGCTTAAAAGAAAAGGAACTCAAACTAATAACTTATACCAATGTGATGATATAATATGCTTTTTGTGTTAGAATATAGAAAGATAAACGAAGCAATAAGACAGACATGGTCTTCAGAAGACTTGACTATCTAGCCTGAGTCTATTTTGTGTGTGTTTCCTAGAACACAAATTTCAACCGCTTACAAGCAGGGACAATAATAAACCATTTACAAACTGGTTTAGTTTCCATATACAGTGACCAATAGCTGTAAAACTTACTGTTTAGATGCTGAGACAGGAATGTGGCAGCCAGATCAGGGAGACCCCAAGTTGTTTCTACAAAGCATCTAACAGTATTTTATGACTACAGTAAAAATAGAAAAATGATACTTACCAGGAGGAGTTACTATGATAATAGCTCCTTCTCCAAATATCTTCTTCCAGCCTGAGCTGTCACAATGGTAAAGGCTCCTACTATAATCCAGCCTTCTTCTACCTTTATAAAGTGACTAGAAGTCACAAAACTTCATACTGGCAGTTTGATCTTCTGAATTCTTTTGGAAGTCCTTGGATATAGGTTTCACAGCATCCAATGTTTTATACGTTTTCCTCAGATTTGTTGTTATTATTTAGTCCCTAGGATGTGTCCGACTCCTTTGCAACCCCTTGGACTGTAGCCCGCCATGAGATTTCCCAGGGAAGAATACTGGAGTGGGTTGCCATTCCCTTCTCCAGGGGATCTTCCCGACTCAGGGATCCACTGGGGAAGCCACTTTCCTCAGGTAAATGGACTCAAATATCTGCTTTCCAAGGAGTAGTAATCACTGAAAACGCGGATGAAAGATGATAAGGATAAAAACAGGAAAAGACCACATCACTGGCACCAACTGGTTAACCACCTGGTTTTCTGAATTTCCAGGAATGGTATTCAAAGAATCAAGACTTTTTTTTATTTACAGGTGTTCAGTTCTGTTGAAACTGCTCAGAGTTTGCATCGGTTGAAAGGCCATTCTCTTCTCATAAACACCAGGGCTGTTTAGCGGTGTGGGAATGTATTGCTAAAAGTAGGAATACCTTCAGTAACTGCAAATGCAAATACCCCATCAGCCATCACACGTGTACTTGAGAAATGTGAACAAAGCTCTCCATTCATTGGGCAACACAATTCTTTACCAAGGTAAAGGGAAATGAGAAAATAAGTCCTATGATGACTTATTTAATATTATTTTTCCTAGGATAAAGGAAGAAATTTGCAGAATTCTCTCTCCATTGAAACAATACTTTCTTTAAACTAAAACTTGAAAACAGCATTTCTCTGATAGTCAAAAGAAGTCTCTTCGTGGCTCTTCTGTAATTTCAAGCCACTCATCTTGGGGCAGGGGGAAAGAAATTGCCAGAAGCAGCTGAGTACTCCTCTGAGCACAGATGAGATGTCCATCTGCCAGGACCAGACAGGACAGGCTCTTACTATCCCCATGTCTACTCCAGATGCACTTGTTCATGGTCTAAGTCCCATGAGCAATCAGTTCCTCTGCCCCAAGGATGAAAGGAAGAGGAGGTCATGTTGGGCAACTGTCCATTCACAGGAGCTCAGCTCACAGTTCCAACACAATGGGAGGGGATGAGAGATTCAGATGCCAATTACATTTAGATAGTTTTTCTTTTTTTTTAAATTGAGAGTTCATGGGAATTTCCTGGCAGTACAGTGGTTAGGACTCTGCACTTTTACTGCTTTTACTGGGCTCAGTCTCTGGTTGGGGAAATAAGATCTCATGATCCACAGAATGTCCAAACAAAAAAACGGAGAATTCTAAGTTGTTAGTACCTGGGGCTGTCATATACCCTTTGCATCTATTGTAGCCATGAATGATGTCCCCTCAGTTCCTTTCTGAAAACTTGTCCTCTAATTTTCCTTATTCCAAGACCATGAGAAGAATTATCGGGAGCTTTAGGAATTGTCTGTTTTTCAAAATGCGTGAAAGATTTAAGCAATAAAATGCAAAAGAGTAACTAAAGAGTTATGCAATTATTAAGTTTTATTAAATATAAGAACAATAAGAAGAAAGAATATAAGGTTTTACTAAAGGGCATAAAATTAAACCTGCATAAATGGAGAGATATATCATATTCGTGAAAGAAAAGCTCAATGTCATAAACATGCAAACTCTTCTTAAAATCATGTGTACAAATAGACTAATTCCAATGACACTTAAGGTAACACTTTATTTTTTTGTTCCTTGTTGTAAAGATTGGGGGTGAGCTAGTTATATTTATTTTAAATTGATATAAAAAGTAAATGTGAAATAATTTTAAAAATTTTATTAAAAATAATGATTTTTAATAATTAATTTGGCATAGCAGCTCTTAACCCTTATTGCAAAGTTACTGACATAACATGATAATGGAGTAAGAATACTGAGACATGAATAAAATGCAAATCCTCCAAGCATCTGTTAATATAAAAATATAATTAAGGCATTTTTAATTGTAGGGAAATGATAGATTGTCTTAAAATTAGTTATGAGCTATTAATTGTATGTTGGAAGAAAAAATAGCTCTCTATCAAATGCCATAAAAGTTAGGTTTGTATTAAAAGGCATCTAAAAATGTGAGTTATAAAGAACAATGAATGAAAGTCACTCAGTCGGGTCTGACTCTTGTGACCCCATGGACTATAGCACACGAGGTTCCTCTGTCCATGGGATTCTCCAGGTAAGAACACTGGAGTGGGTTGCCATTTCCTTCTCCAGGGGATCCTCCTGACCCAGGAATCAAACCTGAGTCTCCTGTATTGCAGGAAGATTCTTTACCGACTGAGCTATGAGTAGGAGACTAAATGAGTCCTTGGGCAGAAAAGCTTGGAATGTGAAGAGGACAGGATACAACTTTATTTAATGTTTAATTTTTAAGATGGAGAAATTTGGAGAATTTTTTCTCTTTTTTTGAAATTGAAGTGTAGTTGAGTTACAATTTGTGCCAATCTCTGCTGTATAGCAAAGTGACTCGGTTTTACACATATGTGTGTTTTTTTTTCAACATTGTTTTCCATTATGATTCGTCCCAGGATATTAGATGTAGTTCCTTGTGCAATACAGTAGGGTCTTGTTGTTTATCCATTCTAAGTGTAATAGTTTACATCTACCAACTCTAAATTCCTAATTCATCCCTCTTCTCCTCTCCCCACTGTTGGCAACCTCAAGTCTGATCTCTATGTCTATGAGTCTGTTTCTGTTTCATAGATTTATTTGTGTCATATTTTAGATTCCACATATAAGTGATATCATATGGTATTTATCTTTCTTTTTCTGACTTACTTCACTCAATATGATAATCTCTTGTTGTATCCATGTTGCTGCAAATAGCAGTGTTTTGTTCTTTTGATGGCTAGGTGGTATTCCATTATAGATATGTACCACATCTTCCTTATCCATTCATCTGTCAGTGGATATTTAGGCTATTTCCATGTTCTGGTTGTTGTGAACAGTGCTTCTATGAATATAGGGGTGCATGTACCTATTCGAATGACTGTTTTGTCCTGGTATATGCCCTGAAGTGGGGTTGATAAGTTATACGGTAATTCTATTTTTGATTTTCTGAGAAACCTCCATACCATTTTTCATAGTGGTTGCACCAGTTTACATTCCCACTGACAGTGTATTAAGATTCCCTTTTCTTCACACCCTTTCCAGCATTTGTTATTTGTAGACATTTTAATAATAGCCATTCTGACTGGTATGAAGTTGCACCTTGTCATAGATTTGATTTGCATTTCTCTAATAATTAGTAATGTTGGGCATCTTTTCATGTGCCTACTGGCCATCTGTATGTCTTCTTTGGGGAAATGTCTATTAAGGTATTCAACTCACTTTGCCTCTGGGTTGTATGTTTTTTGTTATTGTTGTATGATCTTTCACATATTTTGGAAATTAAGCCCTTGTCATGACATCATTTGTAAATAGTTTCTCTAATTCTATTGGTTGTCTTTTATTTTTTTATGGTTTATTTTGACATGATAAAGCTTGTAAGTTTAACTAAGTCTCATTTGTTTATTTTTGTTTTTATTTCTATCGCCTTCGTAGACTGACTTAAGAAAACATTGGTATGAGTTATGTCAGAGATTGTTTTGCCTATGCTCTCTTCAAGGACAGTAATGGTGTCATGTTTTATGTTTAAATCTTTAAGCCACTACGAGTTTATTTTTGTGTGTGGTGTGAGAGTGTGCTCTGACTTCATTGGTTTATGTGCAGCTGTCTAACTTTCCCAGCACCACTTGCTGAAGAGATTTTCCCCCCTGTTTTTATATTCTTGCTGGAGAACTTGTACTTTTTACAACATTTCTAGGAATGTATCCATTTCTTCTAGGCAGTCTATTTTCTTGCCAGGTACTGAGTAATTATTTGTAGTAATGAGTTATTGCCGTTTATATTTTGGTGGTATCAGCTGTTAACTTCTTCTAATTTCATGTCTGATTTTGTGTCTTTGAGTTCTCTCTCTCTCTCCTTTCTTTTTTTCCTGATGAGTTTGGCTAAAGGTTTACCATTTGTTTGTATTTTCAAATAATCAGCTCTTAGTGTATTGATCTTTCCCATGATGTTTTTAGTCTATTTTACTTTGCTCTGATTTTTATTCTCTTTCATTTACCCTTGGTTTTATTTGTTCTTTTTTCCAATTCTTTTAGGTGTAAGATTAGGTTGTTTGCTTAAGGTTTTTCTTGTCTCTTGAGGTAGGCTTGTATCACTATAAACTTCTCCCTTAGAACAGCTTTTGCTGTAAACCTCAGATTTTTTTATGGTGTTTTCCTGTTTTCATTGTCTTCAAGTATTTTTGATTTCCTCTGATTTCTTCAATCACACATGGGTTGCGTATAGCATACTGCTTATCCTACATGTGCTTTTGTTTCTTGTACATACACGATGTCTCTACCTCTAGCTGTGTCCTTAGAGAAATTGACCTGTATAAGCAGAGACAGAGAATGGAAACTGAGGGAGAGATCATAAGGGTTCTGTGAGTACATGGAAAAGTAGTTATCACAAAATGCAAAGAAAAGCAGTGATATAACAATGCATTAGTCAGTAGTTGGGGGAGAAATTGGATCTACACATTAAGATTGCTACCTTATGCCCATACACAAAAATTCAAACTAAAGTGGATCAAGGAATCAAATGTGCAGAACAAAGTCTTAATACCATTGGAAACGTATAAATGAAAATATATTTGTGCTTCAGGCTTTCCTAAAGCTGCAAATGGTTATAGTATGTGGTTGCTGATACAGTAGAGCAAGCTAAAGGCAGTGCATTTACTGTCCAATTTCTTGCTGTCTGCAGTCACAGAACTAAGAAGCTTTGACTTGTGGTGTGAGACTTTTTTTTTTTTTTTTGATTGCGAGATTCTGATGGAGAAATGTGATGACCTGGAGAGCAGCAGCACCCGTTATGCAACAAGACTGATGGGGCTTTGGGGCTGGGGATAAGACCATGAATACTGTTCTAGTAGGCATTCCTGTGCTGGAGCAGCAAGACTTACAAATCAATCTGAAGAAGAATCAGCAGGAGCCTAACAAAAAATGCACATTTTCAGCCTTCATTCCATGATTCTGATTCACTGTGTTGAGTGCCACCCAGAACATGCACTTTTATTCCAATTCAGGCGCTTCTGATGCAGGTGGTGCATGGACCACAGTTTGAGAAACACTGTTCTAGAAGCTCAGACACTGGTACAAATTTGGAGGAATCAATACACAAGAGACCATATACACGTGAGCTGGCATTTCTCTATTTCAATATTAATTTTGCTTCCTTAAACCTAGCCCAATAAGGCAGCCACAACCTTGGCTATATGACTTTTCAATTAAAATATATACCATTCATTGATTTGTTCACCTGAAGTGTTCTTTAATTTTAATTTTTGAGAAAGTTATGATCTGATAAGTCTCATTCTAGTTTGGCACTTGGCCTTGTTAATGGTAGGGAGTGGAGGTAGAAAGAAGCTTTGGCTTTACTTGTTTAAGACAGTTCTGGCTGTGGGCTGAACTTCAACAGAGGGTATAAGTAGAATACAACAGTGGGGCTTCCCTCGTAGCTCAGTTGGTAAAGAATCTACCTGCAATGATGCAGCAGACCTGAGTTCAATTCCTGGCTCTGGAAGATCCCCTGGAGAAGGAAATGGCAACCCATTCCAATATTCTTGCTTGGAGAATTCTTGCCGTGGACAGAGGAGCCTGGCAAGCTACAGTCCAAGGGGTCTCAAGAGTTGGACACGACTTAGCGACTAAACCACCAACCACCACCACCTAAAACAATCACTTTTCCCCCTACACTTTCACTAGGTCAACCATGCCCTAGCTGATTATGTAAGAGAAATATAAGTTTGTCCAAAAGATAAATTGGATACCAGCTTGAGGTTCAAGAAGTCCGAGTTTTCATTCCATTATTTCTCATTCTTCACACTCCTGGATAATAAAGATGCCCATTCCCAGCCATTTTCTCTGGATAATCATCAGGTGAATGGTTCAGTATTATCTAGCCTTTCCATTTTCCTCTCCTAAATATCTCCCCTAACAGATAATCCTAGGTTCTCTGTCTTTCCTAAAGAGAAAATAATATAAACTCTATGAGCTTCTGGGAGAGCTGAGAATATGCTGCCTGCCAGACTGCTTGCCTACAGATTGGAGATGGAGGTCTGTTTTTAGGAAAAACTATGGCTATTGTGGGGAGGGAGAGGGTGGCCATGGAATATAAAGTTTGATTCATGGGCATTGCATTCAGAGTTTTTCTTTGTTCAGAGTAAAAAGAAATTGGAGAGGAAGTGAAGAAGCTGCTGTTATCAGGGCTGTGATTCGCAGCCACAAGCAAAATTTCCAGTGCAGTGTACAGGAAGTCTGAACCAATGTGCTTATCCCAGGTGGCACAGTAGTATATGCCGGAATCACTCTCTTTCAGATTTAGGATTGCAAATGCATAGCGCCTTTCTGTGCTCTTATAAACATGGTATTTTTCTCCACTGCTTCCTGATTCAAGCACAGGCTTTGAGTTGTAGCTGTCATAGTAGAGAAGGCGTTGGGGGGCCGTCCCCTCCTCATGTTTGTACAAGTGGATATAGGTGGCTCCTAGTGTAAGATCACAGGTGAACGAAGCAGTCTCCCCAGTCCTACTGGTAATTAACACGAGGTTGGAAGATACCTGCATGACTGCAATGGGAAAAGCAACAAAAAATAATGAGGAAGAGGAAGCACTGATTTCTTAGTACAACCCTCTCCCCACCGCCCCCTACCCCTTGCCACAGAAAAACAGAAAACTTCCAGGAGCATCCAGGCAACACACTTACTGGGAGCCAGGACAACCAGAAGCAGCTCTGTGGCCCGCATCCTGCCCGGGCAGTGAGCTAGACTGGAATTCCGAGCAGAAGTGGGAAGGAGAAGTCAGGGAGGATCTCTCTTAAAGACCACCAGGCTGATCCCAGGCTGATCCTCCCCCACTCCTCCTGGGGAGGAGCCCGCCTCTCTGCACCAACCCCTTTCTTGAGGGCCCCCCTGTGGCAGGCTGGGAGCTCCCATCTCCCCTACAGAAGAGGAGAGGCCTGAGCACTGAGACTCAGAGCTGCAAGCAGATGGATCAAATGCGAGCTGTGGGGAGGAGAGCCATGCCTGTTGCCTAGTGGGGTGGAGCAGTCTTGAATGAGGCTAAGTTCCCTGCAGTCCAGCTTTTCAGTGTTTATGCTGCTGCCACGGTCTTGCCCGGTGACGTCTTTATATTCCTTCCCTGAACTCCCTTTCGTTTTACACCTGTAAGCAAACTCTGAGGCAACAACCAGAGAATCCAATAAGAACTGAACCTACTTTTTTAATAAGAAATTAAGATCGATTATATTGGTCTACTTTTGACTGTCCTTAAAATTAAATGGATGGGTGTTCGTGTGTGTGCATGTGTCATAAATCAGTTGAAGAGAGGATTCATGTTCATCCTCAAGTAAAAGGCTGCCTCATATAGAGTGTCCAGATTTCATGAAAAAATAAGAAGCGTCACAATAGTTGGAACAAACAAACTAAAAACACATATTTTTTCTGAAATTCAGGGAAATGCAAATCAAAACTACAATGAGATATCACCTCACCCATGTCAGAATGGCTATTATTGACAAGGCTAGAAATAACGTGTTGAAGATGGGCAGAAAATAGAACATTTGTGCACTGTTGGTGGGGATGTAAATTGGTGTAATTGCTATGAAAAATGATATGGAAGTTTCCTCAAAAAGTTAAAAATGAAACTACCACATGAACCAGCAATTCTGAGTGTTTATCCGTAGAAAACAAAAACATTAAGAGATAGCTGCACCCCTATGTTCACTGTTTATAACAGCCAAGGCACGGAAGCAACCTAAATGCCCGTCAACAGAAGAATAAAGTACCTGTGGTGCATATTTATATACACACACATATATGCATATAATACCATTATGTGTCCTTAATTATGTCATGGGTTTAGACAGCTCTCCCGACGGCTTTACAGCTCCGCCTCTGGACCAGTTCTTTCTCTACCGTCCTTTCTCTACCTCCCTCTGTCTCTCCATCTCTCTGCACAGATCTTCTCTATTTCCTTATCACTACCCCACCCTTGAACGCTCTCTTTCTTTCCAGCTCTGACTTTCTTCCCTCTCTTTCTCTTTATCTCTCCTCTGTGTTACAGTTTCCGTCCTCATCTCTATTTCTGTCACTTTCTGTCTGTCTTCTCGCCTATCTCTACCACCCGTCTTTCCTTTTCTATTTCTCTATTTATATTTCTTATTGATTTGACTTCTCTCTCTCTCTCTCTCCATTTTCTCTCATGATCATCCTAATTAAATTTTCTGTTATTCCAACATCTGCGATATCTCAGGATTGGCATCTGGTAACTGACTCTTCTATATTACCATGTTGTGATGTTCCTGGTTCTATAAGTTAAGGAATTTGGGATTATACCCTGCACATTTGGAAGATCATGTTATGGACTTTAGGCAGTGTTTAATGCTATGGAGTGTGCTGAGTTTTTTTGGTAACCGGGAATTGCCCCAGTTGTGGAATGCTCTCGACAGGCAGGTCCAGATAGTGCAATTTTCAAAGACTTTGCAGTGCTATTCACACTACACTGTGTGTACCACTCTGAGTAGTTTCAAATCAAAATTTAAAGAATATGGTTGTGATTATATAGCCACATTTTTATAATGTGGATCCTTAAAACATTTTCCTTATAGGTATACATTGGCGAAAGATAAAAACTACATCAGAGTCCCACATTTCTAAATAAGGATGACTTAGTTCGTTTTGTTTATTGTAGCCAGAATGTCTCCATGGCAGGCATGATTTAATTACAAACCCTAACTTCTGAGGGCTGCAAGGGCAGCAGTCCCGGGAGGTGGTACTCTCCTTGTCTCCACTTACATGGAGGCAGAGAGACTGAGGGTGGGTGACTGGTCCAGGGCCCCACAGCTGGCGGGGGCAGAGCCAGGACTCAGGCGCCCCATCTGTACTGGCATCCACTCTGGTCCACACAGGCTGGTCGTCTCTCGAGTGTGTTGGAGCTTCTGAGATGACAGGTGTGGTCCAGTCACAGCAGTCGGGCTCCACGTGCCTCCAGTTTGGGGCACATTGTTCAGTTCCTTCAAATCATCAAAGGAAACATTTCAACCTCACTAATATGAGCAAATAAACAGTCAATTTTAAAAGCCATAACTCTGCTTAATTATTTAACCACAGAAGGGAAAGAGTAGATCTTAAAACTTCATCTTATAAGAAAAAAAGATTCTGTATCTACATTCAGTGAGGTATGTTGACTTAGTGTGGTGACCATTTCAAAATATGTACAAATATTGAATCGTTGTGTTGTGTAACTGAGCCTAATGTAATATTTTATGCCAATTTTATTTTTAAAAATACATTTTTTTTAAAAGAAAGGAAAAGTAGTGGACTGAACGGAGTAGTTGGGGGCACTGCTATAGGGACAGACAGGATGGCAGAGGCAGTCATAGTCTTGGCAAACAGAGGCCCTGCCTGTATCCGTGTTTCCAACACGCTTCGTCCTCTTTTCCACAGCAGTGTTCAGACATAAAGCAAAAATGTGGGTGTGTGAATAGTAGATCCTTTTTTAAAATATTTTATAATAAACTCTTGAGTGACCTCAACCATGGTTTCTTCAGTGTCACCGCTCATGTTTGTCACAGAAGCTCATGTTTGGTACATAAGCTTTGTTATAAAAACAGAGTAAAATGTAGCTTTTTGCCTTTTCATGTTACACCTCAAATATTTGATGTGTTCTGTCTTTTTCTGCATGGAAAGACCCTTCACTGAAAGTCATCAGATGGGGTCTCCTTTTTTGAAAGTTGGAATGAAGACACCCACTGATGATGTTATTGAATGGCTAATAAAGAATTTATTTATTGTATTACCTCACAGACATGGCCCCATATTCACATACATTAAAGTCTTGCCTGCCCATGGCTCGTATGATAGTGTCATGAAGTGAAGTGAAAGTCATTTGGTCATGTTCAACTCTTTGTGGCTCCATGGACTGTAGCCTGACAGGCTCCTCTGTCCATGGAATTTTCCAGGCAAGAATATTGGAGTGGATAGCCATTCCCTTCTCCAGGGGATCTTCCCAACCCAGGGATCGAACCCAGGTCTCTCTCATTGCAGGTGGATTCTTCCATTTGAGCCACCAGGGAAACCTTGGACCCCCTATATTCAGTTAGACTGTCTGATCTTTTAATGAAAAGTTACAGAAGTCTTGTGCTGTCTTTCTAATCAAAAGACCTCTTAATATATTGAAATGGCATTACATTGTAAGCAAAATCTCTATTTTGATTTACAGAATGGAATTTTTGTTTTATGTCTCAGATTTCTTTAGTATTTTTTCAACATCCTACATTTCTCTTCTATTTTTTAGCTCATGAACATGCAATATATGTACAACTGTAAAAAGTAATCAAACTGAACATATCAAAATGATTAGTTTTATTTTTCTTGTTTTGCATTGTGTATTTGGCCTAAAGTATTGGAATTACAACAGGAACCATTTTGTATTATGTATCATGAAATAATCACCTAAAATAGTCTGAGTAATCTTATTTTGAACCAACTCTATGAAATCATTTTCCCTTGTGTTTAGCTAGTTTGAATTAAAATGAACTCAATTATATTATGAGTTGTTTTGTTAAACAGGAACGTTCAACTCCATGCTTCATGGCAAGACAGTGTTATCTCTGTTTCCTTTTATTATTCATTGTCATTCAAGAAAAATCCAACCTTGTGTGATGGAAATGGTGCTGGTTTGGGTAGAAACTTCCACCCAAATCTAATCAGCTCCATCTGTGCTTGGTCTAAGAATGGGCCACAGAATTGAGGTACAGCTGGAGGCTCCCTGGGAGCCTGGGACCTCCCAAGGGGGAGCTTCTTATGTGGAAAGAGGGGGAGAGGGAGCTCCAGGGTCTGGCCATGGACTAAAACCTCCAGACTTCAGTGGTGTCATCACAATGAGAATATCCTGTGTTGGGAGTGAACCCGCATCTACACCACGACCATAGCTGGGGCCTGAGTTGGACATCAGTGTATGACTTTAATCTGAGAAGAAGCTCTCCCCCGATGCTCGGGCTGGATGAGAAGGATGCGACCAGTCCTTCTAGGAGGGCAAAGACCTCAGATGTTGGCTGTCAGATTTTTCTTTAAAAAGATCCATTAGAGAAAATAGAAAAAGTATACATTTATTTTTATCTCTCATACTATGAATTGAACATTATTTTGTGCCTATGCCTTTTATAGAAATACAGACACACATAGAAATGAGGGTCATACTTGTTAATATAGTTACCTAGTAGAAAATATGGTTAAACAAGAGACAAGAGAGATGAGGACATGACTTGAATGTGCAGTGAGGTCAGGCTGTGCGAGCTGAAGCCTTGACCTTAGCCATGGAGTCCTGCTTCCCTCTGGGGCTGGCTGGATGGAGTGCAGGGCATGGACTCCTACTCTGGATTTGCTGGGTTGGTGGGGACAGCTGCTCTTCACGCTCACATTGCTGAGCAACCCTCTGCTATTCACTCATCACACTGTCATCTGATGTTAGTGCCCCTAGTAAGCCTTTCTTGGGTTGACTCTGAAGTAATTTTTTCCTTTTGGGGGCATTTAGATGGCTCAGTGTATGAGATTTTATTGCACAGATTCCTTCAGGGCCGTGAGCATGGTTGAAGGTGTAGCATCTGAACATCCTGGGTGCAAGTTTCCCAACTCACCTAGGAGCTCATTGGAGGGACTGTATACAGAAACAATGGGGAATCTGGATCCCAAAGCCTAGAGTATGCATGATAACAATCGTGTGCTGTGCAGAGACCTTTTCTTCT